GATCTTGTTTTCTTATCCATTGTTACCCTATGTCTTTTGATTGGGGCATTGAGTCCACTAACGTTTGGGGTGAGTACTGAAAGATATGAATTTATTGCCATTATGTTGCTTGTATAGTTGGGAGTTTCTAGTGTGTTCTCTGGTCCTTTCTAGTCTTTGTTGCTTTTGGTATGTATGTATGTATGTATGTATGTATGTATGTATGTATGTGTCTTTTTTCCCCTCAGAGAGCCCCCTTTAAAATTTTTGCAGGGCTGGTTTAGTGGTCATGAACTCCTTTAATTTTTGTTTGGGAAACTTTTAATCTCTCTTTTTTTTAATTTTTTTAATGTTTATTTATTTCTGAGACAGAGAGAGACAGAGCATGAGCAGGGGAAGGGCAGAGAGAGAGGGAGACACAGAATCTGAAACAGGCTCCAGGCTCTAAGCTGTCTGCACAGAGCCCGACGCGGGGCTCGAACTCACGGACCGCGAGATCATGACCTGAGCCGAAGTCGGACGCGTAACCGACTGAGCCACCCAGGTGCCCCTCTCCTATTTTGAATGACAGCCTTGCTGGATAAAGAATTCTTGGCTGCATATTTTTCCAATTCAGTACACTGAATATATCCGGCCACTCCTTTCTGGCCTGCCAAGTTGCTGTGGAGAGGTCTGCTGTGAACCTGCTCTGTCTTTCCGTGTAGGTTAAGGACGTTTTTCCCTTGCTGCTTTCATGATTCTTTCCTTGCCTGAGTATTTTGTGAATTTGACTATGACATGCCTGGTTGGTGGTCCAATTTTTTTTAAGTAATCTCTACGCCCAACGTGGGGCTCGAATTCACGACTCTGAGATCAAGAGTCCCATGTTCTACCGACTGAGCCAGCCGGCGGCCCCTGGAGGTTTATTTTTGCATATAGTAAGAGTGCCTAAGATTTCTTCCTTCCAGATGTATGGTTACATTGATGGCACTTATTAAACAAACCATTTTTTCCAAACTGGGAGCAAAACAAAACAAAACAAAACATAACATGGTGCCCAGGTATCTGGGGCTGAAAGCCTATCTAGTAAAAAGGTTTCACATTCTACGTTTATCCTGAGATCAGTTTTTCATATAGAAGTTCTTACCTTTATTAATATATTTTCTGGTTTTACATCTCTGTGAAATATTCCATTTCTGCATGCAATATAAAAGGAAGGATAGAATTAGTTGCACCTCATTCAAATTCTTTTACATGGTGCTTTTAAATGAATGTTGATAACATTTCCTTAATCTGAGAGCTGCCAAGTCCCCAAGAGCGTACCTGTGCATGTGATCAAGGGATTTACATAACTGGTACATATAGCATGTAATTCTCTTCTCCGGTAATGGGTGTCTTCTCCCTGCGCGGCCAAGGAAGTAGCCAAAGACGGTTACCAACGGTACATACCTCACTTCTTGAAGACAAAAATAGAATCCCACCATTTTATTCAATGATGTATGAAAATCCAACAAATAACCTGAAGTAATTTCCAGAAGTACAGAGCGTACATAGGAAACGCACCGCTCAAAATTCTACTCGTGGGCATGATTTCATGGGAAACCCTGCATGCACGCATTCTGGTTACTGCAAGAACAGAACCAAGCAATAAGCAGCACAGTAGTTTGGTCTGATACCCCCGGGGCCGAGCCTCCCGGGTGGGCCTTCCAGGACACGCTCTCCCCCATGCCGACTGTGAGGTGTCAGGGGTCGCTTGAAACTCCAGTGTTTTCCTCGGCTTCCGGTCTGAACGGAGATTTCCATTTTATAGGGGGAGAGATCTCAGTTCAACAGAAGCGCGTTTTTAATCCAAGACCCACGACTGCTTTGAATTTCATAGCGCACTCTTCTCTGACAAAGAGCAGCCATCATCTGGTGTCTCCTGGCACAGCTCCGCTGCCCCAGCCCGCTCGGCTGTCCACGCACCTGCTCACCAGGCCTGCGGTGTGGCCCCAGCCCGCTCAGGCCGTCCACACACCTGCTCACTAGGCCTGCGGTGTGGCCCCAGCCCGCTCAGGCCGTCCACGCACCTGCTCACCAGGCCTGCCGGCAGGTTTTATGTTCTACAACTCTTAATACCACACGCACGCCAGCATCAGTTATCCTTGGTCCAGAGGATGTCACATTTTACTTGATTTCAATTTCAAAAGTGTATGTTTTAAGTTTTATTTTAAATATTTATTTATTTTGGGGGAGAGAGAGAGAGAGAGAGAGAATATCCCAAGCAGGCACAGAGCCTGATGCAGGGCTCGAACTCAAGAACCCTGAGATCATGACCTGAGCCAAAATAAGGAGTCAGACTCTTAAGACCAAGCCATCCAGGCACCCCTCGTTAAGTTTTAAATCTGAAACACGACTGCTCCGGCCTAACAATCCAGAAAACCACTTTCCCTCCGTGAGCACACATCCCATTTGACATTTTTGGTCTTAAGTTTGCCATTTCTAATGTCAAATAAATTTATTCTTTTTCTCTCATAACTAGACAAAAATGTTTATGCTAATAGAAAGTAATTTAAATTACAAAATGTCTAAGTACAATTAATTCTTTCATATAATATTGTAACCTGTTTATTCTGTTTCACATAATTTATCACCCACTTTCTAGAGTTTAAAAGAATTAAACTAAGACTTAGTCGTCTTCCCCTAGCTTGAGTAATTCTGTAACTTTATATTAAATTCTTAGCTGTATGAAGATGAAAAGAAAGCAACATTTCCGTTCTTCATCACATGTGCTACTGGATGAAGCTTCCTGAAATTTAGTTCTCGTCCTGGGGGGGGGGGGGGCTCTCACAGCCCACTGAATTAGCTTGGCACTCAGGACCCCCTACCCTCCCAACCAGGGGCCTCCAGGCTTCAGGAGGATCTGAATACCCCGGGGGCCTGTGAAGACACAGAATGCCCCCCACCCCACCCCTAGGTTCAGCAGGTGGGTGGTGGGGCCCCCAAAAACTGCCTTCTGAACATGCTCTCAGGTGCAGCTGCCAGGTCTGGGTCCTCACTTCGGGAACCACACTCTACCACACCCCTCTTGCTTACCGAACGCCCCAGCCAGCCAAATTCACCTGCAGATGCTTGTGTCCCTGCCTCACTCTCCTGCTACACACCTGTGCTCATGCGGTTCTGTTCCCGGGAGCTCCCTTCCAGCCTCGCCCACACGCCCAGATCTTCCAGCATAAACTTGTCAGGACAGTTATCCGAACTCGCCCTCAGCAAAGTGGAATCTTTTAGGGAAAGTCTAACCCACCGCATCTTCATAATCACCTAGGGATGCTTTAAAATGGCGACTCACAGCTCCAAACCCAGACCTAATGAATCTCAAAACCAGAGACATGGGCCAGGAATCTGCATTTCTCGGCTGCCCTCAGCCCCCAGCAGAAGAGCCCTCTTTAGGGGCTCACCCTCCCTTTCCTCATTGTCCCCCGGCCACCACCATTCATAGCCCTGCCCCCCACCCCGCTATGAGAATCCCCGCCTACCTAAGGGGCCTCCTGAGGGAGGGAGGCGCAGCGTGAACCGTGGGAGTGGGATGGTGCTCGGAACCATCAGAGTCCACCCCCTTGACCAGGAGCAGGCTGACTATCCATTCTCTACAACGGTTTTTCAAAAACAAGATCCTAAACCTTCCAGGCCCGAGACTGTATTGGGTTCCTAACAGATTCTTGTTCTCAAACATCTTGAAACAAACGGAGATGGTACAATTAATAAACCACTCGGAAATTCCCGTGGGAGCCTTACTGACCACCAACAAACACACCGCGCTGTCCCGACCGAGTTCATTTTTGCCAGTTGTTTTTTTTTTTTATCCAAATATCCTCATTAAGAAGATTCTAAAGGGGGCGCCGGGATGGCTCAGTCGGTTAAGCAGCTGATTTTGGCTCAGGTCATGATCTCACAGTTCGTGAGTTTGAGCCCCACTAATAGCACAGAGCCCATTTCAGATTCTCTCTCTCTCAAAACAAACTCTAAAAAAACACTCTAAAGAGTGTCATATACTATATCAATACTGTAGAAAGTGTTTCTGTGAGCACAATAATAAACTCTGGCATTCGCTGCCGCTACGAGCGGAAGGAACACGGCCACCAGGATAGTCCGCGTCGTAACAGAATATGGCGCACACACCCCGTCCCACAAGAGACCCCATCCGCCGGCCTGTGCCTGGCTATCCCGGCCAGGCTTGGAGGCACGTGGCGGGGTCCAGCAGGGCACGGGCAAATGCCCCGGGTAGCAGGTGGGATGTCGGACTCGGCGGAGCCCGAACCATCCCTGGCAAAACGCAAGGATGAGCCCCCTAGTTCTGCCCGGCTCATCTTAAGCAAGTGCTGGAACTTCTGTGGAATCCCGCCTCCTCGCCTCTACAAGGGAGGCAAGCGCCTGGGGTGGGAGGGTCAGATGCACGCACACTACGCGGTGCTAACGTGATCGTGACGATGCGGATGACGGCGATCCGTGTTTACTGAAGACTGTGCAGTGGCCCCTGCCCTAAACGCAGCACGTTATCTTATCTGCTCCTCACAACAATCCCAAGAGACTCTAGGTTTATTCCTATTTCACAGACAAGGACCGAGGCTCACGGGCCTGACCTGGACCCACCATCGTTAAATACACAGGACAGGGGACACCTGTGCTGTGTCCGCACAGCCACAACTGGAGCCACGCTTCCCAGAAGCAACAGCATCACAACTAACAGGACGGTGACATGGGCTTGGAAGAAAATTCAGGAGACAAAAATGCGGTATCACTCACACCCTGTCTGAATGGCATAGAGACCGAGAGCTTAAGGAAAACAAAGGCGTCGATCACGGTGTCAGAATGTTTCAAGGAAGTGTTAGGAATGCCAAAACAGATCTACTTCACTACAACTTTCCTTTTTATATACGCGGGAAAGTCTAAATAGATCCCAAGAGCTCTTTTAGTAAGCACAGAACTAAAACTGCTCTGAGTAGATAAGAAAGCTACGTGTCACAGTTGGTAGGCAACGTTTCCTCTAAAAATTCTGCGTCTTACAATCAGTGGGTCAGATCAATGAAGTATAAAAATACAACTGAATTGATCTGACACTGTAACGTCAGGCAAAGTAGTTCTTAATAAGAATCATAATAAGGCACACCGCCCAAGCTGTTCGTGGAACTGTGATGCTATGTTTGCAGTCAAATCGAACCTGTCTTGCTCTTTCCCACTTGGTTCATTCCCCAACGTCACGGATTTATTTCAAGGTCCCTGCCCCACCCACAGCCTCTAAAAGGTATAACCCTGGGGCGCGTGGGTGGCTCAGTCGGTTGAGCGTCCGACTTCGGCCCAGGTCATGATCTCACAGCTCATGAGCTTGAGCCCCGCGTCGGGCTCTGTGCTGACAGCTCGGATGGAGCTTGCTTCGGATTCTGTGCCTCCCTCTCTCTTTTCCCTTCCCCTGCTCGTGCTCTGTCTCTCTTTCTCTCAAAAATAAATAAATGTTAAGAAAAAAATTAAAAAATAAAAGGCATGACCCTAAGGGGACAAGGCCAGCTCACCGGACCTGGAACAGCCGGCACTCCGGGAGGTGGCCAATGACTCGGCTTTCTGGGCCTGGCCCGTCTGCCGCCGGTGGAGGGTCTCAGGGTCTGAGTGGCCAAGTCTGCCAAGAGGAGAGGGACACGCAGAGGAGGAGGGGCAGAGGACCACGTGGCTCCGAGACGGTCAGCGGCGGCCTTGGCAGCCGGACCTTTCCTGGCCCCACCTCCCAAGAGGCCTGACTGAGCTTCCTGCAGGAAATCCGAGGTTTCACAATAAACCGTCTCTTCTGTGTGTGAACGAGCCGCACACGAGCCGCGCGGCACGTGCTCCTGGCAATAACAACCTACGACACTCAGTGCCTGTGAACGTCACCCAGGTGGACGACACACCGAGCCACACCGGAAACAGGGCCGGGCGCTGAGAGGACACCCGTGACGGAGCCGGCAAGGGCCCCACCGCCAGAGAGCAAATGCCCTGGCGGACAGTCGGACAAGCACCAGGGGAGCGGACGCATGTCAGGCGTCACGTGGGAGATCAAGGAGACAGGAGGGAGCTGCGACAGAGGGGGCAAGGCAAGGTGAAGGAGCAGCCACCCACAGCTCCAGGCGGGCACCGGAGGGCGGTAGCCACTCACAAAAGCACGGTCATTTAACTTCAAACAGTTTAAAAAAGAAGAAGGAGAAGAACAAGAACAAGAACAAGAACAGAATCAGATACAATGCATTAAGATCCTAGATGCCCCTAGGGGCGCCTGGCTGGCTTGGGCAGAAAAGCATGCCACTCTTGATCTTGGGGCTGTGAGTTCGAGCCCCACGTGGGTGCAGAGATGAGCTAAATAAATAAAAACTTAAAAAAATAACAAAATAATAGATGCCTCCATAACCAGGTTATAGTCTTATCCAGTCTTTCCTTATAAACTCCAAGACAGCCCTCCCCTGCTGCAGGTGGCAGATGTCCGGCGCCATAAGCACAGTGCGCCCGAATAAACCAGCCAGGATGGCAGGATGGCCCGCGGTGTGGCTGGTGCCCCGGGGCGCCAGCTACGCCCTCCCCGCGTGGACAGCTCCGTGACAGTTCTTTCCAAGGGAGCAGCGGGCACAATACCTTTACCATCTCTTTGCCCGTCTCCCCACCACAACGCAGACCCATCCCAACCGCCACCTCGCGGGCCAGGCACGCTCGTGGCTGGGACTTCCAGATGTGACTGGCTTCTGCATCCGTCGGACCAGACCGCTCGAGGAAGAGGACTCAGGCCCGAGTTCCAGAGACAGACGAGAGGAGGGAGAGCATCCGCTCTGAGTGCGGATCTTGGCGGAGGGCGCCTCCTGCCCGGGCAAAGGTGGCCTGGTTCTAGAGCCCGGAGCCCGGAGCTCCTTCGTTTGGGGCATCCTGTCTGTGGCAGAGGCAGCAGCACCCGGGGCAGCCCAATCCTGCAGAGTCGTTTTTTGGGAGCTCCTCCCTGGAGGCCACGCCCCGAGCGTTTCTTCAGTCCTCCCGGCAACTCTGCGGAGCCATCCGTGTCACTTGGGTCCCCTGGGGTTACACTGGCCAGAACAGAGGCTGCTGTCTGCAATGGGAAGGGACGACCGGTACATCCTCTGGTGGCCCGTTCATTCTTTAAACAGCATCCAGAAAAGTGCTTCTAAAAAGCACAGTCTGAACTGATACCAGTCCGGGGGCTGTTTGTCTCTGGTTTAGGAGGAGACAGCAAAAAACTAAGAGTGACCGGAAACTTGTACAGCAATTCAACGCCGCTGTGACATCCAAGCACATGACTGTTTTTCCGGTAATTAATTTTTATGTATTTTACAAAAGTCCAGTCCACAACACATTGGGAAAAAGCAAACGAACAAACAACCGGTCTTCGACTATAGTTTTAGAAACACTGGTCTAAACCCCAATCAAAAGATGCTTCTTCCCTGCTTTAAAACCCGTCAATGTGGGACGCCGAGGTGGCTCGGTCGATTGAGTGTCCGGCTCTTGATTTTGGCTCAAGTCATGATCTCGCAGTTCGTGGGATTGAGCCCCATGTCGGCTCTGCGCTGATAGCATGGAGACTGCTTGGGATTCTCTCCCCCTCTCTCTGCCCCTCTCGTGCTTGCTTGCTCTCTCTCTCTCTCAAAATTAAATAAACACTTAAAACCCACTAATGCTTCCCACTGAACTTAGAATGATGTGAATTCTTACCCCGGCCCTCCCTGCCTCCTGGCCCCTACGTACCTCATTTCTAACTTCCTTCCTAGTGCTCCAGCCACACTGGCCTCCTAACCTCACAGTGGCCTCAGGACCTTTGCACTACTTGTCTCTGTCTGGAACACTCTGTCCCCATCAATCTCACATGGGACCTGTTTTATTCACTCGTAACACTTATCCTGTCTTGATCTCCTTCTTGATCATTTCTTTACTTGTTCAGTGTTTCCGTCTTCCTGAGCGTGAGCCCACGTGGATGGGACCGTGTCTGTCATGTTCCCCACTGGGTCCACCTCCAGAGCAGTGCATAGCATGTAGCAGTGAATGAGACACCCTCGCCTGCATTTGCCTACTTCCCCCAATCTTCCGGGTAAAGCCCAGTCATCTCCGCCTCATCTGACACCTACTGGGTAAAGAGAAAATTTCCCCAGCAATTCGCCTCTAATGATTTTGACTTTCATATAGTTTCTCTTCTCTCTTCAACAGACTCTACACTGTTTATCAAAAAAGCATCTTCTGTTCTTCTCCTCTACCTCTGCCCGACCTTGCACGCTGCCGTGCATATAAGCAGACAATCCAGCCAAGACTGGGCGATTCTTCTCTTGTGCCATTAACTGGGTCTTCCGCATCTGACGGTGCTACTCAACATTCTCATCATCCAGGAGAGCAGTCATTTCAGTAAAATGAATTGTCACTCTAGTAGAAAAAGCTTTCGTGACCGATTCAGGTTTCAATAAACCACTGTGACCATCAATAACAACAAATTGTTAGCAGGCGCCCATTCATTTGAGGCACTGAGCTGGGGCCAGCAGTAGAGACCCAGAGGAGCAGTGGGGTGTGGTGGTTATCACTTAATCCTTGAAACCTCGGTCTCCTTGTCCGTAAAGTGTAGATGATAACAGTGCCAACCAAAGAGGGTTGTCAAGAGGCTGGATGTGTGGTGGCTGAGAACACGCACTCTGGAACAGGCTGAGTCCAAACTCCGTGTCTACCACATGTCCATAACCTCGGACAAGGTACTTATCTCCCCGTGCCTCCATTTCTCCATCTTTAAAATGGGGATAATCAGGGGCACCTGGGAGGCTCAGTCGGTTAAGCATCCGACTTCCGCTCAGGTCATGATCTTGCAGTCCATGAGTTCAAGCCCTGTGTTGGGCTGTGTGCTGACAGTTCAGAGCCTGGAGTCTGCTTTGGATTCTGTGTCTCCCTCTCTCTCTGCCCCTCCCCCGCTCGCACTGTCTCTCTTTCACTGTCTCGAAAATAAACATTAAAAAAATTTTTTTAATAAGAAAAAAAAGCAAAATGTTGGCTCACATAATGAAATAATGAAGTTTGGTGGTTGTTTGTCTTGACTGTACTGGGGACCCTGTCCTGACACTCTGGCAGACAGATGTACGGGGAGAAGCAGAGTAAACAATCCACATCCCACAGGACGTAGGAGAAAATGTAATCCTGAGCAACACCTCATGGATCCAGACTATTTGGCATCGATGCTTAGCAAGCGACGTTTCCAGATCAATAAGGTTTACTCTTTGAAAGTAAAACTCTCCTCTATTGTAATCCTTTAACTGGGAACCTTTTTTAAATCTTTTCTTCACTTTCCTGCTGTTTCCATCACGTTTACCGGCGCGGTAGGCTTACCGCAGTCCAGCCCGCGGCTGCGCGTTCTCTAACCCGTCTTGGGGCGTCTGGGGTCTTCCGGCTGCCCAGACTGCGCTCATCCGCGGGGGCGCTGCTGTGGTTGTCCTCCCGTTTTAGATTTTCAGTTTCATCCCCCATTGTAGGACTGTCACCTGTCGCTTCCCGTTACTGCTGGTGGGCCGAATTCTAGAAGCTCCTTCTAGCCAATGGCTCTATTCCGAATGGGTTCTATACTGAGAAACCTGGCAACCTTGTTAGCACTGTACTCAAAACGCAATGAAACAGGTCCCCGAGGGGATGGGCTTACCTATGAATAAAATACACAAGGTTTGTAACATAGGAAATATCATACATGCCCAGACAAAAGGCGATCTCCCACTTTCTCGAAAAGATCCAAAAGCTCTTCATCAACTTCTGTGGGTGTAGAAAAGCTTGCCTATTTCTACTATTTATTTTATTAGTGAGCTACTAAAGCACACATTTCAAATCGCTAGAGGACCCACTAATTTGATGATGACGCTTTTCCCCACATTCTGACTTCATCACCATTTTATTCCGACTCTTCATGTGCTTCTTCCACACCAGGGTCACCCTCATCACAAAAATAGCTTCTTGATCTCAAAAATGCCACATGACACCTTCCATACCACCTTTGGCCTGGCTTAAGATAATACAGCAGTTTTTAAATGGTTCTTTCAAGCCACAAACAGTCACTCACATAACACAAGGCAAATCTGCTTTCATTCGTCCGATCGGCACCGCGTGATCGGTCGGTAAGATACCACGCTTTCTGTGCTTTCTCAGGGACAGCCACGAGGCTCATTTGTCCTGACATCTAACGCAACTGTGCAGTCAGACCCCCAGGGATATTTGCTGAACGTGGGCCAACATCTGCCTCCGTGTTCCTTCAGGTGCCCCCTATCAGCCTCCCAAACCAGCCCTGACTGAGGCCGGCTCGGGCGCTGTGCTTTCCCGAACAGAGCTCTGCCGTTCAGGGGAAAGTGAATAAATGAGCATCCTGTAACGCGGGAGAAAGACTTTATAAGGATCTGAATAGAAGGTGGTCGTCTCTCGGCTGAGGGAGGATCTTGGGGGACAAGCCTTGCCTTATGTTGAGCAGAGCCACCAGAGTGACTTTGGAGCGGCACAGCGCCCCCTGCAGGGACCTGAGGTGAGGAAGGCCTGAGCACCCGTGTCACCTGCCAGCCTGGACCTAGATGGCTTTACTTGTCACTGACCGCCCTGTGTTGAGGAGACGAGACTGACAGAAGAATACCTCCCAAGAGGTGACTGAGGATTTTGAGAACTGAAACAAAGTACACGTGAACGACAGGCTTTAGAAGAAGATCTTAGGTTAGCTTGCAAATTATTCTACGTACCTCGTATTAGCTCATAAATATTCATGTCCATAAGTTCACATATTAGTGCAAGAGAACCAGATTTTCTGTCACTGAAGAAGAAATCAGGTTTTTAAAAATGTTTTTCTTGTCTTAATCAGAAACTATCATCAAACATTTAATTCACTTGTGCACATTTCTGGTAAACATAAAGCTCTCCCACCTCAAAGCCTGGGGCACAGTGACTGAAACAGAAGTTGCGATTTTCAGTCAATTATTTCAGTCAATTAATTTAAAATTAATTTAAAACAACAGTAAAAATAAAATAAAATATAATAAAATAACAGTAAAATCCCACTTTAAGCAAAAATTCTAAATGCTTCCCCCCTTTTTAATGAGATGTGTCTTAAAAATATAGAACTAACTACTGGCAGAAAGGAGAAAGGAGGTCGAGTCGGCTAAGCAAAACAGAGGAGAAAGAATTTAATTCATGCTCCATGACTGCAAATTTATTTAGTTCTAACTTACCTAGATTCTTCCATGTACCTGGGATAAATTATGATGGGGAGACAAAAATCCACAAACCAGTCAGGGGAAAAGGGAGGAAGACGGGTCACCCCAAGCCCAGGTGGGGTCCAGGCCTTGCACGGGGTGGGGACCGAGGCCTCTGGCCGGGCTGCCAGCTTCTCTGGAGCTGACACTGCCCTGTTTGAAGGCCCCTGAGCCCTCGGCAGAGGAGCATGTGTCACTGCAGACCCTACTAGTCAGGTCGCCTCCAGAGGGGCTGCCTGGAGGGGGGCGCGCACACAGGCCCGGAGAGTGCCCAGGACGCGGCGTGCAGTGGGCGGTGTCGTGACCAGTGCGCACTGCAGGCTCCAGGCCAGGAGGCCACGCGGCTATGACAAGACATTCTACTGTGAGTTTCAAACTGCTCTCTTCCCTGATGAAAACCCACTGCACTTCGTCAGAGACCCTAGTGTTCCGGCTGGTTTTAAAGCGGCCTGGAGCACCGTGGAGAGCTTCACAGAGCGTGCACCTTCTCAGGGGGCACAGAAAGGCAAGTTCCAGAACCCTGGGTCCGAGTTCCCGGCTCAGAGTCCAGAAGGGCAGTGCGGAACTGCCAGCACCCGCAGGTGAGGTGTGCCCTGCCTTCCTGATGGGTAGGTGAGCCTCACGTAAGGAGACTAATCTATAATTAGAACACAAGTGACAAGTCCCCCAAATTACAGCAACCATAGTAAGGTGGGGGGGGGGTCACACTACCTGACACGGTGCAGACATGACAGCCGGCAGGGACAATCCCTGACACATGACAATCCCTGATGTAGGACCACAGTGCTTTCCCATTTGCCCATAACTCACACTCAAGGCCTCAGATGCACAGGCCACTGCCTACAAGGAAGCCTCACTGAGCTACAGGAGAGGAACCGTTTGAATTCTGTTCACTTTTATGATAGGGAATCACCTAAACGAAGGTATTTCCACATTAGGAATCAGACACACATTTGTCCACATAAATACGTGACTTAAGATAAAATGAGAATCATTACTCCCTGAGCTACAAAGCAAATATTTCAAATGTCTACTACAGTTTTCTTCCTTAAAAAGAGATTTGATCATTGTCATCAAATGCAGATCATTGTAAAGCCCCAGGAATACTTACAAAACCACTTCGTGCAACGTGAGGATGTTCGGGTGTGGGTTCAGGCGCCTCAGTGCTTGTATCTCCCGTAGACTGTTCACTTGCTCGATACTATTGCGTGGGTAAAAATAAATAACTAATTCATAATTCAAGTCAGCCTCAGATTAGGGTGATTCAATCATTATTTATTACCCATGATCACAACTGAGAACCTCACACATATTTCAAGCAAGTTCATCGACTCATTTCTCCCGCCAGCAGGTGACGTTCAACATGTCTCGTTCTGCATCATCTGATAAAAATCAAGGTTCTTACGGCTTTGGACATTTACTCAAATTTTTCCCATCGAAGCTCCTGAAAGAATACCTTAGTGGTTTCTTTTATAATTAGTAAACATGGAAACAAACATTAGAATTTCCTATTAATCAGTTTATGGGAACTAACCAATTGAGCAACAGAAATACCCCCTGAAAATACCCATCTCAAATTTCCATGAACACGCTAATCTTCCTTATCTTTCATGAAAGCTGTACATTTTCTCACTTTCGTTCAGCTGGCGGCTGGCGTTCCCTCGGCAGGTGTGACTTACCTACCGCCAGCTCTTCTTTACGAAGACGGGTCTGCCAGACGCCGTTTACATCCCAAACCTCGCCGATGTGAGTGGGACGGAAGCAGATGGGGATGGGCGGGCTGTCACCACACTCCAGAGACCGCTTCCAAGAGATAACCCCCCCTGGACGGGCCCACGGTCACGGTCGTGGTCGTAGTCACGTCCAATCAAATGACTAGATCCACCAAGAGACTTCCATGGCCTCGGCTCTGAAAGGAACTGTGGGAATAGTCTTCTTCCTTTGAACTGCCAGAACTCTGTTCTGCCAACTTTTAATATACAGTGTAAAGCTCAGCATTTTGTCTGGTTCTTCAAAGGGCAGTTATACCCAATAGTGTATTATTACTGTCTTAAATCAGTGTGAATATGTTAAGTCTCGTGCCAGCCAACAAATGGGAGCCTGGTATATGAGAAAAGCCTGAATAGTCTGAGTGTAAGGATGTTTCTGACTACAAGTTTTAGACTCTTTTTCATTTACTTTCCCCTGGTGCTTCCCTCACACCCAGGACGACATATGCCAAATGTTAGCAACTTGTGCATCAGTCAACAACCAACCAGAAAAGACAGAGCCCACCGTGCTGGAACAAGGTCCTACGGAGGGGGCCCCTGTTGAACCAGGTACTAACCTTTTAGCTCTGGGGAGAGGAGAGGTCTGGGGAGTGCCGGCCAAGGGCCAGGTGTAGGGTGGAGGTGGGAAGGGTCAGCACTCAAGAGGCTCAGGATAGCCGGTTACTACCCAGAATAGGAGTCTTTCGCTGTTCTCGTGACCACCGTGTTCGGCCTGGCATGTGCAGAGACCAGATCATGATGCTCTCCACTCACTCTGTCAGCTTAGTGCCTACCCCACCACCTGCTCCTCGCCAGCATCACGGCCTCCCCTAGATGCCTTTAGAACAATGCTTCCCAAATATGTCCCATAGAACATTCTTCCTCTAGAAAATGCTTTTTCAAGAAACTTCACGCTCAGAAAGTTTGAGATAGGCCCACTCCAGCTCCTTTTGGAAAGCCATAAACTACTGCTAATTTTACTGTTGAAAAGTTTTCAAAAACCCTACAAATGGGGGCGCCTGGGAGGCTCAGTCGGTTTGTGTTCGACTTCAGCTCAGGTCACGATCTCGCGGTTTGTAAGGTCGAGCCCCGCGTCGGGCTCTGCACTGACAGCTCGGAGCCTGGCACCTGCTTCGGTTTCTGTGTCTCCCTCTCTCTCTGCCCCTCCCCCACTCATGCTTGCTCACTCTCTCTCTCTCTCTCTCAAAAATAAATATACATTAAAAAATCCCATAGAAGTTTACCTTTATTGAAACCAACATTTCCCAAACTTTTTTGCCCTAGGATCACTTCTTACAAACTATCTAGTCACCAACCCTTAGAACGAGGGTTCCAGAGAACACACCGCTCCAGACCATCCTTTGAGTGGCATGACAGGAATACCTTTTTTCCTTCGGACAGGGGAGGTGAACAAAGATACCAATCAGGCAATAGGAAGGAAGAAAGAAAGATCAAGTGAAACACTCTTGTGGGGGCACATGGGCAACCGATGGAAGAGCCTCTTTTAATCCGTCTCCCTGGGGTCTGCACTGGAGGAGACCACTGAGCCCCTCTTCAAGGTCCCGCACCTTGTGGGGGGGTCTCCTGACTCAGGGCTAGGTTGCTGGAGACCCCACCTCCACCCGGTGCCTGTGCCTGTCATGCCTCTACCCCTGGCATGCCGTAGGTCAGTGGCTCTCATGGGGGAGGGACCTTGCCCCCCAGGGGATGTTTGACAATGTCTGGGACGCCGTTAGCTGTCACAGGTTCTGTAACATACTGTTCCATTTGGCATTCAGGGGCAGCAGCCGGGGTTGATGCTCAGTATCCCACAGGGCCCAGGACAGGCCCCACAATAAGTAATAACCTGGGCCCGAATGTCAGCAGTACCAAGGCTGGGAAACCCTGCCTTGGTGGAAAGAGCGAGAGACCAGTGGAGCCGGCAACAGCTCTGATTTCCGAACACCCTATAGGAAAAAAATAAGTTTTCCGAACTGGAGGGTCAAACAGCCTGGTCATTGAGACGAACAAGTATCCACTCTGCTCAGCTTTAATATGAAAACCTGTTATCATACCCTGAAACACATTATTGCTTATTGCAGACATAATTCTTTCGTGTCTCCACAGACATTTCTCTCAGAAATAATGAACTAATACATTTAAAAAGACATTTTCATCTAAGTATCACTAGCTTTGTTCAAATAACATTTTATTAAATTTTATTGGGGGGAGGGGGGAAAAGTGGGGGGGGAGAGAGAGAGAGAGAGAGAATATCTCAAGCAGGCTCCACACTCAGAGCAGAGCCCAACACAGGGCTTGATCCCACGATCCTGGGACCATGGCCTGAGCTGAAATCAAGAGTCAGACACTCAACTGACTGAGCCACCCAGGTGCCCCAACAATATTTCGTTTTAAATTTTTTTTTTTTTCAACATTTATTTATTTTTCGGACAGAGAGAGACAGAGCATGAACGGGGGAGGGGCAGAGAGAGAGGGAGACACAGAATCGGAAACAGGCTCCAGGCTCTGAGCCATCAGCCCAGAGCCTGACGTGGGGCTCGAACTCACGGACCGCGAGATCGTGACCTGGCTGAAGTCGGACGCTCAACCGACTGCGCCACCCAGGCGCCCCTATTTCGTTTTAATAAAATACAAATAAACCCTGTTCTTTTAAAAATCATGAAAAATATCTAACAACTGGAATTAACCACTTTTCTGCGCCTTGAAGTTGCTTCGAATTTTGTGGTCAGGTGACATTCAGGGTTTTGTTCGTTTTCACTGTCCTGCTGGAGACCGAAGCGATCGCGGAACTGGACACAGAGGAACGCAGGCAGCCTCTGCTCCAAAAGGAAGAGACAAGATCCCCCGTACGTGCGTTTTTCCGCAACTGGAAAAATTATATTACCGGGTCCAAGTCTTTAAAGAATAAAAAATATTAATTTTACAATGTCAACACTTCATTTTATTGGAAGGGTTTTACAGAAAAGTTTATCTAACCAATCCAGTCTGCAGGAAGAAAGTCCCTAAGCTGAAGGGGAAGAAGTGGGTATATTAATATTAGACAAACTAGACTTAAAAACAAAGATTACTTCTTTAATTTTTTTTAGCGTTTATTTTTGAGACAGAGCATGAATGGGGGAGGGGCAGAGAGAGAGGAAGACACAGAATCGGAAGCAGGCTCCAGGCTCTGAGCCGTCAGCACAGAGCCGGATGTGGGGCTCGAACTCACGAACCACGAGATCATGACCTGGGCTGAAGTCAGACGCTTCACCGAATGAGTCACCCAGGTGCCCCTAAATAAAGATTATTACTATCTATAATGCTTTCATAGTGATGGGACAACACATCAAAAAGGCATGACAGTTACAAACGTGTGTGTGCTAAGTAAGAAAGCTTCAATACACAAGTGAAAACTGACAGAAGAAAGAAGAAAGGGTTGGAAGTTTCCATACTCTCTATACAACTGAGACACAACTGAATGACACAACAGTCATTCAGAAAACCAGTAAAGAGATCCAAGATCCTAACAGCACTGTTAACCACCTTGACCTAACGAGCTTTTACATAACACCTATTACTTAACACCTGGAGCTAGAATATGCTCTCCACTCAGATGAATATCTGGACCCAAAGATAAATCTCGATAAATTTCCAAATACGAAGACTTCCAGAACATGTTGTTCTCTGACTACAATGGGCATAAATTAGAAATCAATGATAGTAAGTTAGCTAGAAAAATCCCAAACACCTGCAAATTAAGCAACACACTTGTAAATAAACCACGGGTAAAGAAGAAATCACAAGGGAAGTTAGAAAACATTTAAGCCAAGCAACAAGAAAGCACGACATATCAAAATGTATAGGATGCAGGAAAACAGGGCTTAGAAGTGTATTTATGGCTTTAAATGCTTATGTTGGAAAGGAAGAAATAGTTACAAACCAATTATCTAAGTTTTCACCTTTAGACAGCAGAATAAGAACACTAAATTAAACCAAAGTAGAAGAAAAGCAATAATGGAAGAACAGAAATCAATGGCACAGAAAACAAACAAACAACAGAGGAAATTAACAACGATTCTTTGAAAAGATTCATAAAACTGATAAACCCCTGGCAAGACCAATGGAGGAAAAAATGACATAAAACACCAACACTGCCAACCGATATCAGGAGTGAAAGAGACGATATGACTATAGTTAGATGTTAAAAAGCCGAAAGGGGGTAACACGAACAACTGTATGCCAAGAAGTATGACAACTTAAATAGACAAAGTCCTTGAGAAACACAATTACCAAATGTGACACAAACCTGAAAACCAAAATAGCCGCGTGTTTCCCAAAGAAATGGAATTTGTTAGCAAGGGCCTCCTCACGGCTGACGGAAGTGCTCTTAGATGGGATCGTGGCGGCAGCTGGACACCTGCATAAATTTCCTAAACTGCTCCTACCATGGGTGGATTTGATGAAATGTAAATTA